TCCAATCCTGACTCTGCTTCTTTTTCATGAAGCAACTTTGGAAGCCTCAGATTCCCAGCCTGCAAAATGGAAATAACATAGATGCTCTCCAGTTGGGCGTGGAGGTGAGGATTTAAAGAGATAAAGGACTCCACGCAGAGTCGGAGACAAAGGAACCAGTAACAAACAGTACCAAAGCACCATTCCTGTGTTTCCAAGTTGCCTCTGCTGCTCTGCTGTGGTCATTAAAATACACCCCGGGTTTGGGGCAAAAACCACTCCCCCCCCCCAAGAAATGCTCCCATAAAAGCACATTCCTCTTATATGTGTCACCCCCTGGGCTTGGTGGGCGGGGCTTCTGACCAGGGTAGAGGAAGGAGTACCTTGAGCATGAAGGCCTCTCTCCATCACTCCGTGCTTGACCTTCATGTGGCGGGTCAGGTTCCCCTTCAGCGTGAACTTACTCGGGCAGTAGAGGCACTTGAAGGGTTTGCTGTCCGAGTGCAGGTGCATGTGACCCATCAGGTTGTGCATCCGGTTGAACTCCTTCCCGCACAGCTGTTGGGGACAGAGACCAGGACACAAGGATCTTACCGAGGAGAACCTGTGTTCTAGTGGGGGGGGGGGGTGACTAGAGAGCAGTGGCCACACCTGCTTGGTGCTCTAACTACTTCCAAAGGCAAGGTCCCCCTGGCAGTCAGGGAGGGGCCAGGGGCTACCTGGGCTCAGAAGTGGAGCAGGTGGACTGGATTTGTGAGACGCTAGGTGTCCAGTATCTCTAAACGCAAGGACCAGATCTCAAAACTTCTAAATTAAAGCTTGTTTTGTTTTGCGGTGGGGGTCTCATGTAGTCCAGGTTGACCTCGAACTCACTATGTGGCGAAAGAAAAGGAACAGAAATCTAAGAAAGGAGATGTTTTTTTTCTAGGCAGGGATCCAAAGAAGTGAGAATTTTGTGTGAGATATTAAAAAAAAAAGCAAACATTAAAAAAAAAATGGATGTGCCTCTGTGTATGTCTGAGTCCGTGTATGTGTGCCAGTGTGCTTCTGTATGCATGCAGGTGACCAAGCAGTTGTGAGCTACCCATGGGTGTAAACGTGATGAATCTCAAGAGTGGACTTGACACTTCTCTACAGAGGAAAGTGCACAACAGTGACTCTGGGACACTTTGTGTCCCTCGGCCTCAGGAGAGCAATGTTTGGGAGCTCCAGCCCTTCCGTGGTTGTGTTATGAGGAAGACAAAGAAGGATGCTGTGTTGGTGTGTAACCCAGCGTGTTAATTAACAAGACAGTGGAGTGCTGACAGTGATATGTGGTGAGAGATACCATGGTGGGGGGGGGGATGTGAGGTATGGCATCCCCTGGGGCTTACGTAAGCTTTCTCTTCTCTTTGAGAGAGATCTTCAAGGCTAATGTTGAAGATTCTAGACTAATTTTCTATTACCAAAGACATTATTTTCCTTAGGGAAGGGCCGTGGAGCTAACCTTGGAAGAACAGGCGGGCAGAGCTGACAAGATTGACCTTGGGAGGCCAGGCAAAAGAATGCTGGGTGTAAGAGGAGCCAGCCTGGGACTGACTTTGGTATCCTAGGCAGACTTCTAAGCTCAGAGTAACTGTACACCACACACATTAGAAGACAGTGCCGCCTAAAGCCTGGGGATATAGCTCAGGGGTACAGTGCTTACATAGCAAGTGTAAGCCCTAGGTTTGAACCCCAGGATAGAGTGGGGGGCAACGACATAAAAATGACACCCCAAGGGGAGGAAAGGATGAGAAAACAGATCCAATTCCAACTCCCACTAGAGAAGCCATGTGAGAGACGGATAGTTTCTTTATTCCCGCTAGACACTATTCATGACGACACTGAGCTGTGCTCAGTTTTGCACATGTCTAAAGTTGTTTTGTAAAGTTATAACTGTTAGCCTAGTTTACCCACTTCTCTATTATAGCTATGGAATAAAACTTCAGATCTAAAGACCCATGTTACATTTTAAGGAGAAGAAACACACCTCTTATGTTCTGTGGGGGTGATTCTTGAGTGTTTGGGGATGTGACAGGATCTCAGCTAGAAGGTGGGACATGTTGCAATAGAAGAACTTAGAGAAGAAAAAGCCCCGAGTGGGAGAGAGATGCAGAAGGCCGGAAGATCAGTTCAATCCCTGGGCAAGTCCAGACATAGATGGGTCGGATGCTCCGCTCTAAAGCAGACAGACATCATTGAAAGGGAAGGATGAAGGCCTTCAGCACTGGCTTCTGTGGTGCAAGACATTCTTCTTCCAGCCATTATCTCGATGCTCAGGTGTTAGAGTCTGGACTGGCCTGAAAACACGTCATTAGAGAGATGGATCCGGGGCAACTGCTTAGCTGGTAAACTGTTTGCTGTCCAAGCATGAGGACTCCAGTGGGACTCCCAGGTCTATGTCAGCAGCTGAGTGTGGTGATGTGCCTTTGCATCCCTAGTGCTGAGGAGGAGGAGATGGGCAGGTCCCTGGGGCTCACAGGACAGTCAGCCTAGGCTGACTAGTTGTCCTTTGGTCCAAGACAGGAGAGAGGTGAGGGGGCTGATGACTTCTGAGAAATGACATTTGAGGTTGACCTATGGCCTCCACATGAACATCACTAAACACAGACACACACGCAAGAATAGTTTAGCTCTTTCTTGAAGGATGCCCTTTATTTTTGCCTTGGCACAAGTACCAGGCATCTTCATGAATGTTTGTAGACACTTCAGTCTACTTTATACCACAGGTGAGGGGCCTACCGTAGTGAGGCTTAACTGCTTATGGCTGTCATATCCATCATACCTGGAACACAGGGTCATGTCCTGCAAAACATCTACCCCAAGGTCCCATCTGTCAACCTTCAAAGATTCCACTTATCAATTTCCCCTCACCACAAGTCTATACTCAGAGGTGTGTGTTTGTCATAATGGCCACCTTTGGGTGCCTTGTAGCTTCTTCTCCAGCTTCAGACAACTGTGCTGGACAGATTTATGTCAACTTGGCACAAGTTAGAGTTATCTAAAAGGAGGGAACCTCAATTGAAAAAGTTCTGCCATAATATCTGGCTGCCGGGCAATTTCTTAATTAGTGATTGATGGGGGAGGGTCCAACACATTGTGGGGAGTGGCTCTGGGGTCTATAAGAAAGCAGGCTGTGCAAGCCAGGGGGAGCAAGTCAGTAAACAGCACTCTTCCAAGGCCTCTGCATCAGCTCCTGCATCCAGGTTCCTGCCCTGACTTGCCTCAGTGATGGACTGTTATCTAGACATGTAAACTGAAAAATAAAACCTTTTCCCTCCAACTTGCTTTTGGTCATGGTGTTTCGTCACAGCAGTAGTAACCCTAACTAGGACAGACAAGCTACCTTTTTTTGATCCTTTCTGAAAGCCTAGTGAATGGTTCTATACTACAGATTTTCTGGCTCAATTCATTCAATATAAAACTTCTTGGGACAGTTTAGTGGTATATGGGGACATCATAATTATATTTAAATTTATATTGGACTTTGAAATTATATTGTCAGATCTCTGTGAGTTCAAAGCCAACCCTGGTCTACATAATGAGCTAGCTCCATGACAGCCAGGACTACGTAGCGAGACCCTGTCTCAAAACAAAACACCACATCAAAACCCAAAAACATCATATTGTCCTCTAAAGTTATCCCAATGGTCTGAAGGGAAGTCCACTGTGGAACATGACAGGTCAGCTCTATTATGTCTGATTGGTAAAGGAGACTGGTTTCTGTCATGTTGGCAAGCTTAGTTTTTATATAATAGAGTTACCCTGCATGACTGATGGTAGCCTATTGGGTGTCACAATGGAGATCAGTGGAGGCAAGTCAACTCTGAAAGTCCCAAAGTGTCCCAGTCAGTTTTCAACTCAAGGGTCACTTCAATTTTCTTTGTAACCAACCTCAGTATCAGGCACAGGGCTACATACACAACACCCTTAACAAGTAGTTAGGCATTACGTTGGAAGAATATATAAACAAGTCAGGAAATATCATCACCCCATACACAATCTTAAAATACAGTCATTCCTGGTTCTCATCTCCCCACTGGCCTACACACACACCAGTTTGTAAACACTCAGTGGCCGAAGGATGGAGTCAGGTTACAAAGGACCTGGAGCCCCTGGCCTCTGTTCTCATCTCAGCAGGAGCTTCGCAGTCAGCTTCTCCCTCCACCTCTGCCCTTCACGGAGCCCTGTGGTCCTCATCCAGAACAGTTGCTCCTCCACTGTTCCTGGAGGAGTGTCCTCACATGACAATGCCCCGGTGTAGAGAGGTTTTGTGTTTGTGTTTTTGTGGTGGTGTTTTTTATGTCTGTGGCACACAGAGACATCCCTCTCAGACGGCAAAGAGGGGTTACAGAAAGAGCTTGGGGTCTGCTACCGAGAGAGTCCTGGGATGTCAGCTCTAAGCAGAGTCCTTGCAGCCGGGAAGGGGACTTAGACTGGAAAGGGGAAGAGTGTAGAGGAAACAGCAAAACTCATTTCTTCCCTGGGAAAAATCAGGAGCTGAAGTGAAGGTTTCCCTTCATTCAGAGTTGAAAATCCTAGCGCAGTCCCAAGCCAGGACTGGACGAATGATCTCACAAGGTCTGCATCAAAGTAAGAGAGAGATCTTGGTGCAGGCGCTTAAGGGAGAGCTGGAGACTCCGTTTACATCTTTCCAGATGTGAGCCACAGTACCCCAGTAAAAGTGCTGTCCTTTCCAATCATCAAAGGAACCGACAGGGAATCTTCTGGCTAAATCCCTGCCAGGTGACCTGGAACTGACTGGAAGCCCAGCCCAAGAATCATGGGTGGAAAGCGGCGATTCACTATAGACCACAGTCTTTGGGGGCGCCCACCAGATGGCTCTCTGATGTCCAGGATGCCCTTGAGACAGCTGCCACACGCCGCCGTCCTCTTTGCTTCAGCCTCCTTGCTCTGGCCTCCTGGTACCCTTCACATCTGCCACCCCCCCCCCCCCCCCGAGGTACAGGGCCTGGAGGTACTTGCTTCCCATGAGCCCCCGCGGCAGGCAGCCGCCGCCACAGAGGTCAGCTGTGGGCAGAGATGTAGCAAAGGCAGTAAGTAGCAGGCATTTGGCTGAGTCCAGAGGCCCAGAAGGCCAAGCAGCGCTGGACCTGGCTACCACTGCCTGAGGTGAACTTCAGAGCCAAGATGCCCCGGGGAAGCTTTCTTTCCTATCCGGAGAGGAAAGGTCAAAGAGCGAGCTCCAGCCAGCCCCAGAGAATGGCCTCGGCTCAACTGCCCTCCCCTTTACATTCTTCTCCCTCTCCTCTCTTTAATAAGAAGGGTGTTCCTTTCCTCAAAGGGAGAGGGAGGGAGGGAGGGAGGGAGAGAGAGACTGTAAACTGTCCAAAAGGACCGTGAGAAAACAGGAAGCTTTGAAAAGCACAAGAGAAAGCAAGATGAAATCTATTTGCAGGCGGGCCCCTGGGGACATGCTAGGCATTGTTAAGCAGGCAGTTCGTTCAGCTATATCCTTCCTTCTGCCTAGGAGGAGGGCTTTGCTGCCAAAAGGCTGCTATCTGGTCACTGCCTTAACCCCCTCCATGCCAGCCTGGAAACCCT